GATGTATAGGACGCAAGCAGATTTTGACATCAAATTTTGGAGTAAAAAAAGTGCGTCTTATACACCGAAAAATACGGTAATTCTCGGTCGACGTATTTCAAAGATCAAGGTTACATAGAGTAGGTGTCAGTAACTTGCATTTTTAATGGGAATTTATGAGGAATTTCGTTCAAGGTAGTGTCCCTAGAATTATAAGTCATGAAAAGGTACTTCAAAGGCCAAGTTCACGTTTGGGGTGAGATTTGCGATTATTATAGTTAAATGAAGTAGACTTCAACATAGGAAGGCTATCAGATAATTCAGTTTCTGTATTTGATATTTCATTGTTGCTTCACATTGTAAATAAAAAGAAAGACCCGGATGCAAAGACTGTGACGCACAATACACTGGTACATTGGTATAAGTAACCAATGATATTAGAAAAAGAAAGAAATGAACGAACTTACAATTTTAGGAGGAGCGAATTAGTCGAATTTTACCGGTTTAATGCTGGCTTTGTATTAGCATTCGACACATTCTCGCGAATACTTTAGTTGCTGCTAATCACGATGATCATATTGTATTCTAGTACATATTTCCGGTTTTTAAAATCGTATTTTGTTTTTTATACGAACAAATAACACGAGCCTGGTGGATCCTACCTATGTTTTCGCATTGCAGCCCGGTGGATCCTACCTGTGTTTTCGCGTTGCAGCCTGGTGGATCCTACCTATGTTTTCGCGTTGCAGCCTGGTGGATCCTACCTATGTTTTCGCGTTGCAGCCTGGTGGATCCTACCTATGTTTTCGCGTTGCAAGGACACATGAATTTATAGAAAAAGAGTAACCGTTCCTTCCCGAAAATCAAAACCTTAAATCAAAATAAATGCTTCATCGTAGGAATTAGTTTAAATGTACATACGATTTAAATCGATGATTAATTATGCTTAGAAGACAACTTCTTACCATGAAGCAGTTATTCCGAAAACTATTGCAACCGGTTTTTTAGGAACAACTATAGCTGTGAAATTTTATGGAAGGTTGATGTATTTGTCATTTTACAAAGGTTAATACCAATGAAATTATTATCAAATTCTTTAGTCTCAAGAACTTATTAATTCGACTTAATTCTCTATACAGCATAGTGTAAATATTTATAGTTCAAAGAGCGCGATTAACTAAAGCTTTAATAAATTAATGTAACGGTTTTATTTTTTGTTTGTAATTAAACACAAAGCTACACATTGGGCTATCTGTGCTCTGCCCACCACGGGTATCGAAACTCGGTTTCTAGCGTCTGCGGACTTACAGCGCTAGAAACTGGGTTTCGATACCCGTGGTGGGCAGAGCACAAATAGCCTATTGTGTAGCTTTGTGCTTAATTTCAAACAAACAAGTAACGGTTTTAAACGAAAATAGCCGGCGAAGCAATGAAAGTAATAACTCTAATATTACTGATACAAGTCAGTAAATATTTAGATATCTTGATACGCCTGTGATCTGAAATTCATAATGGATTACTTAAGAGTCATGTGTGGAAATCAAAATAATTTTGAATGGTGTATGAAATAAATTGGCTGAATGACTGCATAAACCAAGAAATATCAGTTTATGACATACTCCCACTTCAAAACTGGGCTGCTGATTGTCCAATAAATACAATTAATTCACATTCATGAAAACTCTAATTTTTTTATTCACATGTTCACTATGCAAATACTGCATAGTATTTTAGTTAACTAAAAACATTTGGCACGAAAAACATCAGCTTATAAAACACGCATTCAGATCTACCATGAACTGTACCTGAAGAACAAAATAGTAAATAAGTATGTGATAACTGAATATCTTCCTGCAGCATGTTATTAGTGTAGGAAAATTCAATATTAACACTAGTTGCATGTATACACATCATTATGAATATTCAGATTCTTCATTGAGTTTGGAAACTATTTTTGATTCCAAATGAATTACTTGTATGATTTTTTAAAAAATTCAGTAACCAGACTGACAAGCTGTGATTATAATTGTCACTTTTTGATGTTATTATTTTTATATCATACAACCTGGCTTATGAATTTAAGGCATACAATACATAATGTGAATATTAACACTTTACAAATTGACTATTGTCTTCTAAAATGTGATTAACCTTGCTAATACAATCACTATTATCTAAAATAAGTAATGTTTCAGTTATTTTGTTGAAACTAAGTCCGAGATCAATCTAAGTTATTTGAAAGTTTCGGTTCCCACTTTTTGTCGTTAGATCTGTCTCTGTAAAGTTAAAAAAATACATACAGTCGTAGACGTGTTGGTTATTGATGTCATAGAAGTATTGGCTATTGATGTCGTAGACGTACTGTTTATTGATGTCATAGACGTATTGGTTACTGATGTCGTAGACGTATTGGTTATTGATGTCATGGAGGTTCTGGTTACTGATGTCGTACAAGTGTTGGTTACTGATGTCGTAGACGTGTTGGTTACTGATGTCATAGAAGTATTAGTTACTGATGTCGTAGACGTAGTGGTTACCGATGTCGTAGACGTACTGGGTACTGATGTCGTACAAGTGTTGGTTACTGGTGTCATAGACGTATTTGTTACTTATGTCGTAGACGTATTGGTTATTGATGTCGTAGACGTATTGGCTATTGATGTCGTAGAAGTGTTGGCTATTGATGTCGTAGACGTATTGGTTACTGATGTTGTACGAGGGTTATTTACTGATGTCGTAGACGTGTTGGTTACTAATGTCATAGACGTATTGGTTACTGATGTCGTGGAAGAGTTGGTTATTGATGTCATAGACGTATTGGTTACTGATGTCGTAGACGTGTTGGTTACCGATGTCGTAGACGTGTTGGTTACCGATGTCGTAGAAGTGTTGGTTATTGATGTCGTAGAAGTGTTGGTTATTGATGCCGAAGAAGTGTTGGTTATTGATGTCGTAGACGTGTTGGTTACCGATGTCATAGACGTATTGGTTATTTATGTCGTAGAAGTGTTGGTTACCGATGTCATAGACGTATTGGTTATTTATGTCGTAGAAGTGTTGGTTATTGATGTCGTAGACGTGTTGGTTATTGATGTCGTAGACGTGTTGGTTATTTATGTCGTAGAAGTGTTGGTTATTTATGTCGTAGAAGTGTTGGTTACTGATGTCGTACAAGTGTTGGTTACTGATGTCATAAACGTACTGGTTACTGATGTCGTGGAAGTGTTGGTTATTAATACCCTACAAGTGTCATAGAAGTATTAGTAACTGATCAATAAAAGGAGTTTTGAATACTGATCGTAATTAAATGTTCTTTTATGTTGGTAAAACGAGCTAAAGATGCTGATAGGTAGATAGGTTAATAGCGTGTAAAATCAGTACAATATGTGATATTAATAACCCTTGTTCATATCTATGTGAATACATTAATATGCTTTATGTTATTTCCATGTTATTATTTTGATCAGAATGATCGTGTAATCAATGACATATACCATAATTAGATAACCCGTGATATTTCTGTATCCTGTTTGAACCGACCTTGGCGATTTCTGGTTTGTTGCCGCCCTTGTCTGTGAATTTATTAACCTTCAACTCTACCTGGTCCATGTTTTCTACACAGTTCTATGATTTTCAAAGGAAACATGACGAGTTACAGGTTTCTGCTGAGTAACGTGGGGATTCCCGATGTGGATAATAAAGGTCAAATACACAAATACCGTTTTAGGCATTATTCCTGTAAGATCGTAGAATTTAACCGAAATATTTAAACTGAAATGCCTTCTCTCTTTAAAAAAGCTGGCATTTATATAGCCGACCAGGAAATATTTTCCATTAACTTTCTGTGGGTGTCCTTGTTTTTCTTATATTGCCCTAGTTCGTAACAGTCTGTGGTTTTATGTTGTTTTCACAAGTCACTCTTCACTGACTCCTAGAACAAAGATTTAATAGACTAATGTTTTGTTTGCTGCACTCTCAGACGTACAATATATACACACACGCGTGATTCAAATACTAATTCCACCGAACTCCTTATAATATGGAACTTAAAGTGATGTGGGGTAAGGTTTACACAAATAAGAATAACTTCTTGAATTATCGCAGACAACAGTGCAGGTTTTCTTTTTTCGAGTTTATTTTCAAACGTTTTGTGTTTTAATTGCAGACATTAGTGCACCATTGTATTAGCAGTACGTAATTTTGTATATCTGTCTCCAAATCATGTATATTTAACTTATAATGTTCACCACGTCTGCTCTGAATGTAATTCTTGTATTCGTTTTACTCCTAACTCAAATCTATCGTTTTCCAAATACCGCCTCGTTCTTACACTAGTTTCAGTAAATCATTATCAAATTCATCTCATCGAATTTATATGTTCTTTACACTGTTCTTTAATCAATTGACATCAATCTTCTTCATGTTTCTTCTACATAGCCCCTTATTCAGTTCTTCTCAGTCGTGTCCATGTTTCCTTTATATGACCCCCCTATTCAACTATCATCAGTCGAGTTCATACACTCTTTATTTACATGGCCCCTTACTTAGTTCTCCTTAGCCGTGTTTATGTTAACACGATAACCTCTATTTATCTAATTCATATTATTATTGAATACCTCGGTTCATTCTCAGTTTTATGTACGTTACTACTTGGGGAATAATAATAGTTTAATTTAATGGCATTATAAAAAAATAGAAATATTAGTACATTTTTCATTATAAAAGAGTAACGTTTTCATTTTTGTAAAAAATCGACAGAAACGGATTATATTAAAATAAAAAATATATTTTTGAAAAACAAAATCAGAGACTCTATGGTCGTGGATACTTCGAAAGTTAACCTTTCCAAATAATTCTGAGTATAATAACAATGTACAAATTGAGCACGTGGTAAGATAAACTTTTATCCTTATGTTTAAAATAGAAACATTATACATTAATGGTTTGTTAATGTCGTTCATCATCTCTCATCATCAGCTACAACATGTGGTATTTTACTCTTGAAAGACTTTTTTTTTTAACCTTCTTATTACCTTATCATGTTGTTGCTTCCAGTGGTCAGCTTTATGGGCTATTGCCCTGATGTCCACATGTTCAAGAAACAGAATCTTCAAACAAGTTTACTATTTTCTAGTTATGTCTATGCTATATCTGGCCTTCCTGGTTGTTAGTCGTTATGATGAATAAAGATGCTAATATAATGTTCTCCTGAAATTTACTATTTTCTTGTTATGTCTATGTTATATCTGGCCTTCCTGGTTGTTAGTCGTTATGATGAATAAAGATGCTAATATAATGTTCTCCTGAAATTTACTATTTTCTTGTTATGTCTATGTTATATCTTGCCTTCCTGGTTGTTAGTCGTGATGATGAATAGAGATTCTAATCTAATGTTCTCCTGAAATTTACTATTTTCTTGTTATGTCTATGTTATATCTTGCCTTCCTGGTTGTTAGTCGTGATGATGAATAGAGATTCTAATCTAATGTTCTCCTGAAATTTACTGTTTTCTTGTTATGTCTATGTTATATCTCGCCTTCCTGGTTGTTAGTCGCTATGATGAATAAAGATGCTAATCTAATGTTCTCCTGAAATTTACTATTTTCTGGTTATGTCTGTGTTATATCTTGCCTTTTTGGTTGTTAGTCGTCATGATGAATAGAGATGCTAATCTAATGTTCTTCATTTTCTAGAGAATTTTCATTTTTCTACCATTTGAATACATATCAAGAGCACTGCTATAATGTATTGTGGTTATATATATGTGTGTGTCTGTGTATGTACTTCAATTTAATATGTCAGTCCTTTACTGCACTTTAATGAATATTTCAGCAAGTTACAGTATCTTAGCATTCCTGAAAGGTCTCACAAAAACTTGTAGAGGAAGTGAAATGAATGATATTTTGACAGTAAAATCACAGATGTATGTAGAGAAACAAATTCTGTAGTTACACTGGTTAAGTATTTCTGAAAGTTCTCACAAAAACTTGTAGAGGAAGTGAAATGAATGATATTTTGACAGTAAAATCACAGATGTATGTAGAGAAACAAATTCTGTAGTTACACTGGTTAAGTATTTCTGAAAGGTCTCACAAAAACGTGTAGAGGAAGTGAATCTATGATACTTTTGACAGTAAAATCATAGATGTTTGTATAGAAACTAATTTCGTAGTGTGAATATCTGAGAGTAGTCCTTTCATAACAGGTTCAAAAAATGGTACAAAATTTGCTTGAGAGTCAGTCATAGTCACAAGAAAACTATTTTATGTTATAGAAATATAGTTGCGACTAAGGCCTTCCCAAGGTATATGATGTAATGATATTTATTATAATTTTGATATACAGATATTAGTTACAGTTAAAATAAGGATAGGATAAAATCTGAAAATACCTCTGCATGGATGGGCCACAGAAACGATAAAGTACAGAAGAAAAGACCTAACCTTATGCTTAGCAATACCATGATGAATTTCGGTTAGGTTTCCACAGAAAAAGAAAATATTTATCTTCTTAAAAAAAGTCATTGGCTATGCTTCTTTTTCTCTTTAGAAATATCTTTTTCTATTGTATAACTGGTAAAAAGTAAGGTAACCATGGAATTACCGGTGCATCGACTTTTTTAAGCATTTTTTTCTAAATTATTTATTCACCAAATTGCTTGTGAGTCCGGGACATTGTTGGTCCTTAACAACGTATGAATTATGCATAAGAAGTAACAAAAATAAACAACATTAATATGAGTACTGCTAATAATCTGATAAGCCCACTATGAGTACTTAGATTGGTCAGTTCTTTATCACTGAGTGATGCAAAAGGCATAAGCATAAAGTTTTTCCAATATCATACAATATATTGACCCCACCGGTAGTAAACTGAATAAAAAATAAGGGTTAAACAAATAAAATTTGCTTGTTTCAGAATATTCACGCAAAGCTACCCAAAGGGCTATCTTCTCACAGCCGTCCCTAATTTTGAGCTGACAGACTAGAAGGAAGGTAGCTAGTCGACACCAACCCACCCCCAACTCTGGGTTTCATATCTGATTGAGTAGTAGAATATGACCTTCACTCTTATGGTTCACCCGCAGCTCCAAAGTGCAGAGTATGGTTTTAGGAACTATGATCCTTCAAATTCACATTCCGACCACGATAACCACTAGGTCACACTTGATCCAACAACTAAAGAGGAAATGTTTAAGTAGCATACAAAATAACCGTTAGGTTCATGCGTATGGTCATATGAATTTGAGTTGAATCAATTGTTTGTCAAGTGTTCCGTTTTTTCAAGGTCGTCATAGTAAGTGCTCTTCATGCGTAAGTGTGGAAGTTATTTAATTTTTTGTATGATCTGTTGGACCAATTAATTTCGTTAAAAGAAAACAGATATACTTTAAAGCAATTTGACGAGTGGTAGAAACCCTGAAGTTAACATGAGAAACACACGAAGAACTGATTAAATCAGCTTTTCCATAAGCTTGCTACTCACACAGAACGCTTATGTTGCTGTCTCATGCTTCCGCTAATTATTACGTGCACACTGTGAGAAACGAAGCATAACTTTCAGTGAAATTATATATCTAAGTACGTTGCTCAGAAATTCATTTATATTTAACAAATCGTAAGTATATATTTTTCTTGGATGTACAAAAAGTGCACATAATAGAATAGTGCTAAACTGCTAAAATAAACTCGTGCAAAATTAATGAAAATTAAACAACGAAAAAAAAAAGTAGATAAAAAATGCTTCCTACTATCTAAATGGGTTTATTTTGCAACTTTTCGGCCTTAGGCCGAATTCATACAAAAACAAAATATTACTGACTGTCTGTATTTTTTTTACCGAAATGGGCCTAAGGCCGAAACGTTGCAAAATAAATCCACTTAGTAAGAGATTAAAAATCATTTTAATCTACCTTTTTTTCGTTGCGTAACTTTATTAATGAATTTCACTCTTAAAAAGACACTATCTTTGATCTGTACAAATTAGTTTACAAAAAACAACGTTTTTGTTTTAGAAAAACAACAACAACATTAACTGAGGGTAATGCTACACAAACTGAAACCAAGATATCACTGATAATTAGTTTTGAAGTTCGCAATTTCCATTTCATAATTCAGAAACAAAGTGCTATATTTCTATCCTAAATGTTTACACGTATTTAGACGGTACATAAATGTCAGTGTTTGTATTGTTCATGTAGTATGATGCTTAAGTGTGATGCCAATGTTTATATTGTTCAGGTTGTATGACTTTTA